TCTTATTTTCGTGATCTCATCATGATCTGATTCCCATTGCACAAATCCAAGGACATCACAATATATATGTGCATATATGCAATAGTTATAAAGTGATATATGCCAAAATATAATAAGCAAAAAGATTCTGTATCAAGTCACATGTGTCATCACTCACGTGATTGGCTTGCTGGGCACCTATAACTAGCACTATCTACAACAGAAGCTGAGTACATTGCAGCTAGTGCATGTTATGCACAAGTTGTATGGATGAAAACACTTTAGAAAATTATAAGATTTATCTTAAAAACATTCCCATAAAATGTGACAATACAAGTGCAATATGTTTAACAAAAAAGCTCATTCAACACTCTAGAACTAAACATATTGATATAAGGCATCACTTTATATGAGATCATGTTAATAATCATGATGTAATCTTAGATTTGGTTGATACAAAACATCAATTAGTTGATATTTTTACAAAGCCTTTAAGTGAAGAATAATTTGATTTTATTAGAAGAGAATTAAGAATGTTAATTTGTCCGAATGCATGAATTTGTTAAATTTTATTTTCAGACTTTCTTGATTCTTTGGATCACTCACTTAAATCTTCTCCTCTTATGATGTGAATTTTACATGATGATGTAAATAAGATTGTATGCTTCACGACAATAAAATGTTTACTTTGATGTTGGAATTTTGTGATTTGATTTTGAAAGGTTCTATGATGTTGTGATCTCTTTAAATAATGAGCATGTTATTTAAATAATGAGCATGTTATCATACAATGATGCAATATTGTGTTTACTTTGATCCTAAAAATTTCTATGATGATTATGATTTCTATTGAATATTGAGAAGTTTTAATCATACATCGGATTCTTAACTTTTGAGTGCTACAAACACTAATGATATTACCTCATGCAAGTAATGATGAAAGGCTATGACAAAATATTTTATAAATGCGTGAAGTATTTATACATTTCTTGATGTTTGATATATGGAAGTCATTGACAAATGCATCTCTCATGAAAATTGAAGGAATTCTAATGGATATCTTAATCCTTGAAAGATGAATTTTCATGTGTGATAATGAAAGCATGTTTTAACGAATCCTTTCTCATGTGTGATAGTGAAAGTATGTGTGTGATAATTTTCATGGGGATTTAATTTCATATGGATATCTCGATCCTTTTTGTGAATCCCTCCTCTTTGTCAAAATGAAAGTATGTGTTAACGAAAACTTATTTATCATTATTAATGGATTCCCTCTTTACCTTCTTTCCTCTTCTTCATACAAAATGTAATGACAAAGGGAGAAAAGTTGTTGGAATCTATCACTTTAATGTTGATAACATTTAATGATGAGAACTTTTGAGTGTGAAACTTGCTTGATTTTTTTTTTACCACACTTGCTTGAATAGTTCTCCTTTTTGTTGATGACAAAGGAGGAGAAATAATACCAAAATATGATAAATTGATGACAAATGTATGCAATGTATTTTATTATATATACTTGAAATGTTTGCTTGATAAATTTCTTTCATTATGATAAGATATCTAGAGCTTAACTTGCTATTTTACAATTGATATCTTGCTATAAAATGATGAATTGCTATCTTTGTCATCTTTCATATTTGAAATATCATACTTGAAAATAGATGTCATGCCTTGATATCATTTTGATAAATACTTGGCATTGTATCTTGAGAATGTTAGATCATGATAGGAATCATGATATGCATGTTGATAAATTTAATAAACTTAACTTATTGGTTTGATTCTTGAATTCAAAGGACTAGAATTCAAGAATTCTTTTCTCAATTATGGCATATTGATAGGGGGAGTTAAGATTAATTTCATCACCAATTGGTTGTCATTATAAAAAAAGGGGAGATTGTTGAATCTTGGATTTTGATGATGAAATCAATTGGTAAATTATTTGATCTAATCCTTGTGTTAAGATAAGTGTGTAGGATTAACTACGATAGCAGTAAGGCGTAAAGCAAATGATGAGCCGGAGTTGAAGACTCGGATGATATACCGGGAGTTCGCCGAGAGTTCATCGTGAGATCATCGGAAGCACAACTTGCCGAAAGCTCATCGAGAGATCGCCGGAAGGATGCCAGAATACTAGCTGAGAGTTGGTTAGGAGTTCGCTGGAAGCTCGGCGGAAGACTCGCCGAAAAGTTTGTCGGAGGATCGCCGAGTAAAAAATCGACGTACCGGACCATGCTTGCCTTAATCGTAGTTAGAACAATAATTAGAGTTGATTTAGGAGGTAATCCCATCAACTCTGTTAGGGGCCAACTAGGCTCGGAGTTGGGCTAGTTTGGGCCAGATTCAAGGCCCAACCAGGATGCTGAATTCCTGGCTGGCAGTGGTATTGCCAGGGCCGACGGTGGCACCGCTTGGAAAGAAACACCCTAGGTGGTCTGGGTGGTGGTACCATCGGTAGTAAATGCTGCCAGTGGTGGTACCGCCCCTGTCAGGCGGTGGTACCGCTAAAGCACAGTCTCCGAGCTCTGTCAGACGGTGGTACCACCTAGTGTCAGGTGACAAGCGATGGTACCGCATAGTAATGGTGGTGGTACTATCATTATCCCGGAAATCCGGGATGAGACACTTTTTTGCCTCATTTTTTAAAGTCATTGGGGCCTATAAATACCCCACCCTTTTCTGCATGAAAAGGCACCAAAGTGTGATTATAATTTTAAGTTATTGGGGTGTAAAAGTGTTGTAAATAAGTACTAGAGTCCTCCTCCTCCCTTTCTAAGTTTTGAGATCATTCAAGAGAGGTGTGAGACTTGTAAGGGTTCTCTCCTAAACTCGATAAAAGGAGAAAGAGCTATAAAAGGTGATTGGTCTTTACATATTGAAGGAAGGCCTTTAATGGATGCCGGTGATCTCAATAGAGAAGGAACCCGAAAGTGGATATAGGTCACATTGACCGAACCACTCTAAATTCTAGTTTACATTTTGTTTTGAGCAATTTACTTTAACTGTAAATTATTTTATAGCAAACTGCTTCTCCTCCTCATCTTGCTTTCACTATGCTTATATTTTCTTACATTTCAAGTTGTTATCTTTCCGAATCAATTTCCATCTAACGTACGAAATATTTTACGAAATCGAAGAATTTTTCGCTGCACTAATTCC